GTCTGTATTAGTCCGTTTCTGTTGCTTATGACAAAATACCTGAAACTGGGTAATGTACAAAGAAATAAAATTTGTTTCTTACCATTTTGGAGGCTGGGAAGTCTGAAGTCCAAGGATCACATCTGAGGAGGGCTTTGTTTTCTTGATGGTAACTCTTCAGTGCCATAGGGTATCACATGGCGAAATGGCAGAAGCAGAGAGACAGAGACTAACCTCCTCACTAGTTCTCCGTTTAAATCCCTCAGAACCACACCCATGACCACCATTAAACCATCAGTGGATTAATCCATTCACTGGGGTATGCTCCTCACAATCTAATCACCTCGTCAAGACCCCGCCTTTCTATTACCATAATAGGATTTCCCACCCTCTTAACACTGTCACAGTGGGGGGTTTTAAATTTTCAATACCTGGAACTTTGGGGGACACAATTCAATCCATAGCAAGGTCTAACACTATGGCATCAAGAGGAGTAGGTGAAGAATTAATTTTCTTATGTGCAGTAACTAGATTTTATTCCCTTATACTATTTAGCACAGAGCACACTATCTCCCTGATATTTATTGCTAATGGACACAATTAGAAAATTCAAGGTCATGTGTTTGTTTCCAAAGGCTGCTGTGACAAAGTACCATAAACTGGGTGGCTTAAAACAACAGAAATTTATTCTCTCACAGTTCTGGAGACTAGAAGTCCAAAATCAAGATGCCAGCAGGGCCGTGATCCCTCTGAGACTGTGGGTAGAATCCTTCCTTTTCTCTTCCAGCTTCTGGTGGCAGCAGCAATACTTGCATGTCCCTTGGCTTTCAGCTGCACCCCTCCCATCTCTGCCTCTGTCATAAAATGGTATTCTCCCTGAATGTCTCTATTTTCTCCTAATTTAAAAGGTCACCAGTCATATTGTATTATGGCCTGTCCTGAGAACCTCATCTTCACTTGATTGTGTTTCTACAGACCCTATTTCCTAATAAAGTCACATTCACAGGTACTATGGGTTAGGGACTCAGCACCTTTGGGGGTGACACAATTCAACCGATAACAGTATGTACCTAATAAGGATTGTTTACTCCAAGGCCACCTTAGACATTAGAAATTCAACATTAGAGCTGAATTTCATAGGTCCCTGTGGGTAGAATCCTTCCTTTTCTCTTCCAGCTTCTGGTGGCAGCAGCAATACTTGCATGTCTCTTGGCTTTCAGCTGCACCCCTCCCATCTCTGCCTCTGTCATAAAATGGTATTCTCCCTGAGTGTCTCTATTTTCTCCTAATTTAAAAGGTCACCAGTCATATTGTATTATGGCCTGTCCTGAGAACTTCATCTTCACTTGATTACGTTTCTATAGACCCTATTTCCTAATAAAGTCACATTCACAGGTACTATGGGTTAGGGACTCAGCACCTTTGGGGGTGACACAATTCAACCCATAACAGTATGTACCTAATAAGGATTGTTTACTCCAAGGCCACCTTAGACATTAGAAATTCAACATTAGAGCTGAATTTCATAGGTCCCATGACCTTTCTAAAGCTAAAATCTGGCTATTTCATATTTCTGCTCAAAGTTCTTCAAAGGCTAAAATCTCAACTCTTTGCACAGCACGATCAGCCCAAGCCTGCCACCTCGGCACCCACCCTTCCCTTCTACTTTCCCTTCTTGCAGGTATATTAACTTTTTGTGGTTTCTGGAATATGCCAAGACCTCTCACGCCTTTTGCCTTTGCACATGTGCTTGTCTGCCTGAAATGCACCCAACCTTTTCACCTGGCAAATTCATACTCGTTCCTCAAGTCTTCTCAACTCTTTGCACAGCACGATCAGCCCAAGCCTGCCACCTCGGCACCCACCCTTCCCTTTCACTTTCCCTTCTTGCAGGTATATTAACTTTTTGTGATTTCTGGAATATGCCAAGACCTCTCACGCCTTCCGCCTTTGCACATGTGCTTGTCTCCCTGAAATGCACCCAACCTTTTCACCTAGCAAATTCATACTCGTTCCTCAAGTCCCAACTCCAGAACTTCTTTCTCTGCGAAACCATCCCTGACTTGCCCAAGCAGTCTTAGGATTCCACCTGTGCTGCTAGAAGAGGTTTAGTACAGAGGATAGGAGTTTAGAAATCAGAAACCAGAAAATCCTGGCTCCATTGCTCAGTAGCTGTATCCTTGAGCTAGTAATTTAACCTCTCTGTGTCTGTTCCTTCATTTATAACACAGATGTAAGTAGTGCTACTCACAGGGTTAGTGTAGAATTTTAGTGAGTTAAACATGTAAAGAGCCCTCAACAGGCACTGGCACTTGTTACATTTTCAATGTTAGTTATAATATCTTAATCATAGCTATTGTCAGATCACACTGTAATTTCTGGCATATGTTTTTCTCACTAGACTATACTATTTGAGGACAGGAACCATATTTATTCTTGGTAAATTCTCAGCCTAGAACAGTGCCTGGCATTCAAATATTTGTGGCAAAAAATTCAGAGGCCCCCAAGCCAAAGAAGGGAATGGGGAGTGATTCCTGTTCTTGTAAGTCTTTCTCCAGGAAGACTTGTAAGGATACAGCAGGGTCAACAGAGGGATGACGGAGATGGGAAGAGTGAAGAAACAAGAAATGTAACTGCCACAAGGGAGGGACAGATTGTGCAGAACTGTGCACCGAGCACCTGGACACTGAGCTCCTCACTGGTACTCAAAAATATTTGCTGAATGAGAAAAAATGGAGGTTAGGAATGGAACATAAATCAGGAAATAATTTTTTTCTTTTTAATGTCCAAACATAAAAATTATAGAAGTGCTATCACATGCCACTTACATATATAAATTGCTCAATTTTTTAAAATAAAAGCTTGCAAACCAAGATGCCCAAGAATTCTCTTCTCAGTGTGGTCAAAATTTTTATATTTAGGAACTAAGAGGGCTGGCCAGTTAACTCACTTGTTTAGGGCGTGGTGTTGGTAACACCAAGGTCAAGGGTTCGCCACACCAGGCCAGCTGCTCCCCCCCCTCAAAAGAACTAATAAATGTTCTTTTACATGTCAGTCTTGTATAATTTGCTGCCATTCAGAACCTAGGAGATACTTCATTGTTGGAATATGAAGGTTTAATTTAAAGTATGGAAAATCTATTTATTTGTATACAAAACATAATTACTTAAGAAATTTTACTAAATTCCACATTTGTTAAACTTTTACTCATATATCCATATCAGAGTCGAACAAACAGAACATATTTGAAACAACAGCTCAGAATACCAAGGCAAGTATTTACTCTGAAAATATTACTTTCTAAAAAATAATAAAAATCAGGCCTTGTGAAATGCTTAGGATGCAAAGTCAAGATAACAGTATAGACGTTTGTGCTTTGCTTAAGTGGTCCCTTAAAAAATACAAATTTCCGGAAAAATAAGTTTTCAAATCATAAAGCTCGTTCCCCATTTATTTTTTGTTGTGATTCAGAAATACAAGGTAGGAAAATTGAGTTACAGTTCTGCCACAAAAGCTTCTAAAGTAGCAAACACAAGTTCTAATAGGTATCAAAATAGCCATGTGCACTTTTATCAATTTAAAAATGTCTTTAGAATTGTCACATCAAGGAAGTGTAAAATATAATAACTACTATCTCCTCTTCCAAATTTCAAATTCAGTCACTGAACTGAACTGTAATCTGAACAGTGAAATTTAGTTCAGAATATGGAAGGTTATGGTTAGCAGGTACTTTTTAAAGCTGAATTACTAAGAACTAAAGGAAATGAGAAAGATACAAAGCATTTCATGTCAAAAAGTATGAATATTTAAAAGTGGCCTCAAGTGAGTAATACATGTTTAAATTAGAACATAATGCAATAAAATTAAATCTGTTGATATAATTCAGCAAAAAAAGTTATGGTATTACCTTCTTCTGGTAAGACAAAGACATACAATTCTTTGAATTAAAGCAACTATTACCAAAATGCTTTTATCACCTAAATATTAGAAACAGTCTCTCAAAGTTTCACTTGCAAATATCAGTAATACATGGTTTAACAGATCCAGATAAAGATTTATAACTAAATATATGTATTAATGTAAAGAGACCATAATTGCATTTAAAATTTTCTTCTTTTCAACTATGCAAATTAAATTTAAAAATATATTCAAAAGAACAATTCCATGACTTTGTTTTTGTAAAAGCAATGAGGATTGTTTTCTATACATTTTTCAGTTATGAAGGGTCCTTGAACATATTTTGGAATTTCTATGGCTGAATGACGTTAATTTTCAAATAAATATACTCACAAATACCTTATAATAAAATAGTACAACTAAAACAAAGAGCAGACACTTCAGAACTGAAATTCATATAATAAGCTGTTGTTGGTCATATACAGAGAGCCTACATTTTAACAGAATTATAATTAAACTTCTACAGCCATAGGTAAGATTTACCGCCTTTTGGGTACAGTAAGTGTTGAATCAATGTGATCCTTAAAAAACAAAGGGTTGATAGTTTCCTTTAACAATTAGACTCAGGGTTTTTTTTCTTTTTTTCTTCCCCTGAGCAGAAAAACAAGTTGTACAAGAATTGAACCAAAAAAGATTTTAAAACAACAGAACGTACCTTGTAATATTTTCATGTTTTGGATGAAGTCAGACCATTGTATGATGCTGCTTAAATGTCTACAATCCCTTACCCAAAACCCTTCAGGCCAGATGTGTTACAGAATTCCTAAGTTTTTGGATTTAAGAAGGTAATATGGGGCCATTTATTGGATATTACAAAATACCTCCATGGAGTCTGGGGCAATGCCTATAATCAAACCCACTGATATTTCTTCAGGTGGAAAGTAATGAAGAGTCAGGAGGAAAGATATAAATAAAAACTACAATCATTTCACATCAGTTCAAGTCAGGTTTGGCTATTAAATGAATATGGCATCAAATTTAGAAAAACAAACATAGTTTTCAAAGCTTTTTACGTAAGGGACTGTGGACCTTTAACATCCCTGACAAAGAAGCTGATTCCTGACACTGTGATCTCTACAAGTCTGTTCTCCTGCCTGAGCTTAAACTGTGTTAGGGACAATATCTCCCACCACAGAACGAGGGCTCTTAAATTTGTTCAGACAGTAGATTACCTGGAGATGACAGTACTGTCTATGAGGATAATTCTTAAAAATGTATATTGAAATAATTATTGTTAAATAGTTAATTTCATTAAATCAGACACCATCTTGGACTATATTTTAATACAGACCAGCAGTAGAAGGTGCCAACACTCAAGGGACATTTATGAGAAAAGAAAATTGAGAAACGTTCAGATATTAATGGAATTGTTTTCTGCAAATTAGGAAAATACAGCCATTATTCCATTTTGGTAGCTGCCCAATGTGACTCAACACAGCTTGCAAACTTTGGCTATATAAGACTGAAAAACTTTTGAAACCATTTGGCATCAATCCACCATGAAAATTGTAATGAAGTCATTCTAAGCAATTTATATATTAAATAATTATTTCTTCTATATTTACCAGTGTTTAAAATATGTCATTCTCAGATCTTGATAAAAAGATACTACGGATTAAAGTCATTAAACATCTTATTATTTAAAAATGAACTTTAAAAACTCAAGAGCAAGAAAGGTTTGCTCTAATTTTTAGGTCGTCAATCTTTCGTAGTTTTTATTTTTTTTAAACATTAAAAAAGTTTCTTCTTCAAAAGCAGAGGTCTTTTCTCACCAAAGTGAACTGAATGCGCTACTATTCAAGTATAGGCAAGGAGGACAGGACACAACATCAAGGTGAAGGAAACTATCTTTAAGTCAGAGGAGCCTGTACAATGAACAGGATGGAACAGGGAGTGTTGGCTAAACCTTGTCATAGGCACTTGCTGTAGAAATCCACTAAATGAACAATAGATCCTGTAACCTGGAAACAACATTCATGGAGCCAAGAAGATTTCCAGGGCTGTAGAGAGGGATGAATGGGCTTTGTTAACACATGGTATAAGGATGATGTTCTCATGGTCAGTGGGAGAGTCATAGAAAGAAAAGGGGAGCATTTCATTTCAAAACCAAGTATCTTCAAAATCATCCTTGTCTATTTGTTCTTAATGAGTAAAATTTAAATATATGGTCATCATCCTTTCCTAAAAGCTACATATATGCTACAAGGAGAAGAATGTCACATTTTTAATTTTTTTTCTCTGTTTTAACAAATTCATGAATTAATTTTAAAAGTCAAGCCAAAAAAATTTAGCTGGTATTTTTTTTCTTTTCTTTCTTTTTTACAAAAATATTACAGCAGTATACACAGAATTGCAAAGGAAGAGATGGGAAGAATAAGTAGACACTAACATGGAACAGGTGAACTTTGGGTTATCATGGCTATTTAAAAGAAATTGTAAACTTTTAAGCTTCTAAGATTTTATTTACCTTCAGAAAACATAAGGAGTTTGCCTTTCCCCATGAACAAAAAATGAAAAGTTCCATAAGTGTTCAAGTCTGAAGAAGACAAGAAAGAGCATTGTTTTTCCTACTGGAAAATATGTATCTCCTTACCTTCTGCAGCCTTGCCCTCTCCCATCTCCCGTGTAGCTTTACGGGATCAAAGAGAGAGAAGCCAGTTTCTACCAGCAGCAGAGTGAGTCCTGAGTACAACACAGAGGTGTTAGCGACATTCAGACTCCCTGGCAATGTGCGAAACTCATCTTGAATAAAATACACCAAGCTAAAAAGAAAAGAAGAAAAGCCCCAGAAACCCATAAACTGCCTTTCATGGAAGGTTAAAAAAAAAATTCCTCAAGACTTCTTATGTGCCATAAAGTACATTTCTGGAACTTTATCTATATAGGGGGAAAAAAAGAATAAATAGAAAAAAAGTTTAAATTATTGTTCTGGAATTCTGTTCTTACCCTGTTCACATGCTATTAGTTCTCATACCATCACTTCTCCACTTCCGAGCCCTATTGGTCTCCTATTCCATATTTGCATAGTATTATTAATATTGTCTGGAGTTGAACTTCTATCCCCTTGCTTTTAGACAGATTTCTGAAGAGCACTGGTCCAATCTCACATATTTGAAAACAAACAAAACATAAGTATGTCTCCAGGCCAAAAACTGGGTCCCATTTAGCAGCAAGCTGTTCAAATTATTTGGAAACAGTCTTTTTCCAAGGGATAAGAATCAGTCAGTTTTGTCCGCAGTTTCAGATTCTGTTCTCTGCATCATGCCGCGACGAACTATGCTATCGAAACTTCCAAGGTAAAACAAAGCAATAATGCGGAAAAGACCCATGGTGACCACCTGCAAAATAAAGACAGACCTTTTAGCTCATCCAACAGTACAACACGATAGTTCATTTCAAGGTATTTAGGTCTCTAATAAATAACTTCTATGACACATCTTCTAGTCTGCTCCAAGGACAAGTATAATGAAAACTTAGTAAATGTCAGTGAGCCCCAAGAACAGAATACGTGTGCTCTGTCCCACTGCACAGCACAGGGCCTACCAGAGAGAGAACAACAAAATATCTGTACAATCAATAAATTCCATAAACAGAACAAAATAGGTATTCTTAGCAGTCTTAGGGCTGTAATAGCTAGGGAAGATCCACTCCAGTATCCCAAACATCCAAACTACAATCAAGGCTTTTTTGGTTTAAGATTTATGTTCTGAGCACAAAAGTGAGACCCTCTGCTAGATGCTGAGAATACTGTGGTGAGAAAGACCCAATCCCTGCTCTCTGTGTGCTTACTCAATAATTGGAAAGAAAATCAGGTAAAAAGACAATTACCATTTCAGGGTTAAGACAGCAATTAACCATATCCACTTATTTTCACTCTTTCCTCTAAAAGACCCACTAAACAACACTAAATGGAATTTTTGAAAAGGCATAGAACTATAAAGAAAAGGAGAAACATTTTTAAATAGTCAAGGTCTCAAAAAATTTGCCTCCTAGGCACCCTTTTTCAGAAAATTACTAGAAGAGGTAAACAACCAAAGATTGAATTAATAATACATAAATAACACATAGAAAAAGGCAAATAATAACTCCAGGAAAGACAAAAGTCACACAAGAAAGCAACACAATTCTCACATATGTCATATGTATTTGATATTCAGCTGTGAATAGCATTTAAATAGACTAATGATCATCTCAAATACCGATTTAGCAAACATGATAATATAGCCATTATATTAACAAAATGAGGGTGGGGATACAGGAAAGGTGGACGTCAGCCGGAGGGGAGGGCATGCAGGAGAGCTAAGTCCTCATCCTCCACCATAGAAGGCAAAAACCTGATGCCCAAACTGAGAAACAGAGTGGAAGTAACAATGAAGGCATATAATCTGGAGAGAGAGAGGTAAATACCGAACGGTTCTGCTGAAAGAACAGGGAGCGACTGCCTCTGAGAAGGCTGCTGTCCTGGAGGTAAATGGAGAGACCGCTCTTTTCCACAACAAGACTTGAAGCTATTTCACTCTCTGAACGGGTGCAAGGAAAACTTTGAAAAATGTAAAAACCAAAGGGAAGGTGGAAAAGGCCAAACTATGCAGGCAGTAAAAAGATCAATGGCTGCCAGGGGTGCTGGGGAGGGATGAAAAGGTGAGTCCAGGGGATTTCTAGGGTCAGGAAATTATTCTGCATGATATTGTAATGGTAGATACATGACATGCATTTGTCAAAACCCATACAACACCAGGAGTGAACCCTAGTGCGAACTGGGGACTTTAGTTAATAATAATAATGTATCAATACTGGCTCATTGATTGTAACAAACGCACCACACTAATGCAAGATGTTAATAATAAGGAACAAGGGGTGGGAAGAAAGGGTATACGGGATCTCTCCGTACATTCTGCTCAAGTTTTCTATAAAGCTAAAACTGTTGTAAAAAACAGTCTATTTAAAAAAAAATATTTTGGCATCTGGCCAGTATGGGTATCTAAACCATTGACCTTGGTGTTATAACACCATGCTCTAACCAGCCATCCCTAACATCTATTATTTAAAAAAAAAAAAAAAAACCACACAAAAAAACACAACAAACTAAAGGGAAGAAAAAACCTCAAGAAAAGGTCACTATAATACAGCATAAAAAAGTGCTAAAATAGCGGTAAATACAAGGCATTAGTGATGTTGTGAAATATTTGGTCTCAGTCCTCACTTCCTGGCATACAACTCCTAAAATCTTTGGAATCTCCAAAATAATACTTTTTCTTTTATGCTAATAAGTTGAGTGGTGGCTGGCAGCCGCTAGGTAGGTCCAGGATGGAGGCTGGTCACCAGGAAGACCAAAACAGGATTAGAGGGTTGGGACTTTCAGCTCCACCCCCTAACCTCTGGGGAAGGGAGAGGAGCTGAAGGTTGAATTGATCACCAATGGCCAATGATTTAATCAATGATGCCTACATCACGGTGCCTCCATAAAAACCCAAAAGGAGGGCCGGCCCGTGGCTCACTCGGGAGAGTGTGGTGCTAATAACACCAAGGCCAAGGGTTCGGTTCCCTATATAGGGATGGCCGGTTGGCTCACTCGGGAGAGTGTGGTGCTGACAACACCAAGTCAAGGGTTAAGATCTCCGTACCAGTCATCTTCTTAAAACAAACAAACAACAACAACAACAAAAAAAAAAACAACCCTCAAGGACAGGGTTCAGAGAACTTCCAGGTAGCTGAACATGTGGAGGTTCCTGGAGGGTCGCACACCCAGCTATAGAGGGAAGTAAGCTCCAAGCCCCTTCCCCATACCTGGCCCTATGGATCTCTTCATCTGTATCCTCTGCAATATCCTTTATAATATAAACACCAGTAAACCTAAGTGTTTCCCTGAGTTCTGTGAGCCATCCTAGCAAATTCACTGAAACTGAGGAGGAAGTCATAGAAACCCCGATTCACAACTAATCGGACAGAAGTATAGGTGACAACCTATTGCAATTGGCGTCTGAAGTGGGGGGCAGTCATGTGGATTTCAGCCTTCAACCTGTGGGATCTGATGTTATCTCCAGCTAGATAGTGTCAGAATTTAACTGAATTAGAAGACAACTAGCTGGTGTCTGCAGGAAGCCGACACTGCAAAATTGATTGATTGGTTGTTGGTGGGGAGAAATCCCTACATACTTCTTGGTGACCAGAGGTCACAGAAGTCTTCTGTGTTGATTCTTGAGTGAAAGAATAGAAAAAACACTGTTTTTTTCCCTTATATCCACAGAGCACTGAACCCAGTCCTAGAGTTTTCTAGAAAAAGCAAGGTTTAAAGTGAGACCCAAAGGAAAATTAGAAGTCAGCCAGACATAGGAAAGGTGGGGATGGAAGGAGACAGAGAAAGTTCCAGAAGGAAGAGGAGGGGTAGGGAAAGAAAGAAAAGAGGCTAGAAAGGTAAGTGGGGTAGGAGGTCAGAGGTCTTATGTCATGCAATGGGATTTAATCTTTATCCTGATAGTGCTGAGAGGCACTGAGGTTTTTATGACAGATAGATCTGCAATTTAGAAAAACCAGTGTAGAAAATGTGACGACACACTCAGATGTACCCAGGGGCCTGGACAGAGTACTGTAGACCAACTGTGACTGGAGGGTGGGGGGGTTGTTCTCTGTCCAATGGGAGCAGTTGCCACCTGTCCCCGCCGATTACTGCCAGGTGAGAATGCAGACCTTGTACTGCTAGACCTTCTGACTTTCCAAGAAAAGTCTGAAATCTGGATTATTTTACGTAAAATCTAATTTTTAAACTATTTTATTTAAACACACACACTCATACCAGATGGACCAAACGAAATGCTTCACAAGCCTTTGGGACCCCAATTTACAACCTCTGGTCACAAAGTGTACAACTCCGGCAAGGAGCCTATGGCAGTGGCCCAGGCCTGAACCCTGGGAGCAGCAGCAGGGCTGCAGAAGAGGGAACTGGTCTGATGAACAGAGGGACAAACGAGGGACCTAGTCTCTGACATGAGGGGCAGAAGCATGGGACCACCAGAGAGAACAGAAGCACCAGTCAGTCACGGGCACAGACCCAGGAGGAGGAGTGGGTTGGGTGGGGGCAGGCAGAAGGATGTCAGGGAAATACAAAGTTTTATTTGGGGCATGTTGAATTGGAGATATCTATTCACTTCCCAGGGAAAATGTCTAAAAGAAATTTATGTAGAACTGGAACTCAGGAAAGAGTTATGGGCTGGAGTTTTAGACTTGGCATCACTCGCAGAGGAGGAGTCGTGAGAAGGAACAGGACCGCCCACAGAGAATGCGCAGATTCACACATATGCATTCAACTCAGGCGTTCTAGAGCTCCTACTGAGTGCCAGGCGCTGGCTGCTAGGGGACCACGGCAAACGAGAGAGACATGGACCTGTCCTGAAAATGCTTACCTCTAACAGAGTGTCTACCTCTAAGAGAGAAAGAAAAGATAGTGAGTCTGTTACAGAGTAAGAAAAGAGGGTTTAGGAGAGACCAACAACTAAGTCATTTGCATTAGTCCGAACATGGTCTACTGCATAGAATGCAGTACTTTGTTATAAACCATCCCATGGCTTTGCCTTTCCAGAGCAATCCCTCTATTCCAACTCTTATCACATGACATTACACTGCTATCACTTTTCATCAGTCTCTCCCACCAGACTGTAAGTGCCCTGAGGGTAGACAGGTTGCCTGACATTGGATTCTCCAGACAAACACAGACCCCAGCACATCAATGAACAACTAACTTTTGTGTGTCTTGGATGAAACTATGGATTCCATAAGGGCAGGAACTATGTTTAATCCTTGACTAATATCTCCCTAAACTTAGCTATTTATGACTTGACTTACTTAGAAAAGGTTTTCTAGACGATATCCCAGTACTTTTAGGCAAGGCCCTCCCTAAACTACTATAGACAGAGGAAAATTCCATTTTTCAAAACACAGACTTTTTCCCAGTCTGAATTCCTTGAGTTATGTCTTTAACTTATTTCCTATTTACTTATCCTTTGTAGAGGAAGAGAAAAACTTGATAGCTCAATAAAAATTCTTCACATTCTCAAATAAAGTTACTAGTCTTCCCTTAGCCTTTTCTCAACAAGGTCTGAGGAGAGGCACTTTTTGTCTTGTCCACCTATCTGTGTGTCTGTCTGTCTGACTGCTGGCCGAGGTGGAGCTTACCTGCTGGAGCCCTTCAGTAATGGAAGTCACGGGAGCCATCCCACAGGTCAGGGCCGAGAGCATGTACCCATCTGAGCCAATGGAACTGTTAAAATTTCCTTGCTAAAAGAGAAGGAAGGTGAAAGAAAGAGGGAATTATAGTAACACAGAACCCAGGGTTCTTGCCAAACTGGATTTGTAGTCATTGTCACCATCACTGCCACACGCACTTGCAGTAATAAATAGATACACAAAGAAAGAAAATACAACTTTAAAAAAATTTTGTTAAATTTCAAGACATCAATGTTGCTTAAAGATGCCCTTGATAAAGCAGTAAAATTAATTGTTTTATTAAATCGCAACCCTTGAGGACATGTCCTCTTGATACTCCATGTGATAAATAAGAAATATAAGTATACACAAAGCATTTCTGCTGTGTCGTATTCCAAAGGATGACAGCTGCCTTGAAAAAAGCCCTCGAGCAACCGTGTGAGCCAAGACCTGAACCTGCCACTTCACGGAACACCATTTTTATGTGACAGAACCACTGACAGGCAACCTGTGGTTATTTGGACTTGGGTGTGCGGCAGACTTGTGGAAAATGAATGATGTGAGCCTGTCGCTTCAAGGAAAGCAACTGGCCATATTTGTGCTCAATGTTAAAATCTGAGCTCTCAAGGAAAAAATTGATAATTGTGAAAACCTGAATCCACCATCATGAGATTGTTAGCTTCCCAACACATGCTCTCATGATAAGATCAGCAGTGATATTGCTGAATGTAACTTTTTTTGGTAACTCAGTGAACCCATATTTTCCAAATGACTAATGCATAATGTTACAAAATCATGAATGGGTAAAAGATTCATTCAAAGTGCAGGACAGACCAATGGATTTTAATGTAACAGAACAAAAAGTTCATTGATGCGGTTTCCGATTCCACATTGCAGCTAACCTTTAAGAAACTACCATTTGTCAAGTTTGGGTTTAATATCAAAAAAGAAAATTATGTCCATAATTATCTGAAAAGCCTAGTAAAATCCAACCACATACCTGTGAAAGGCTGGATTTTTCTCATATCCTTCAATCAAAAGAACATATTACAACAGATAGAACACAGAGGCAGCTACAAGAATCCAGCTGTCTCCTAATGCAGACTTGAAAGAGTCTGATGAAAATGTGAAACGATGCCACTCTTTTCACTGAATTTTTGTTTTGAAAAACAATTATTTTTGTAAAAAAAAGTCACATTAGAATGCACTGGGTTTATTATTATTGTAGATGGATTAATAAATAAATATTTTTAAATTACACAGTTTCAATTTCTAACATGGCAAATATTGATGAACACAGCTAATGCATGTGAGCACAGTTTTCTGGGGTTGTCAACAATCTGTAGGAGTGTAAAGTGGTCAAGAGAAGAAAAAGTTTGAAAACCACCAGACTATATGAATCCTGCCAACATATGAAGAGCTGTTTAGGATCGTTAAAAACGCAGAGTGCATGTGCTTTGACTTGAGATAAGCAGGAAAAGCCAAGCCCCACCCAAGCCACGTAAGCCATCATCCCATGGCTTTTAATGCAATCGAGGCAAAGTTCTTCCCACCTGCATATACTTTAATAAAGTTCAATATTTCTTTTATGCTGCTCAGTTCCACCTGATAGAACAGGACTCACTACTTCAAGGCTGTCGCACAGTGGGCTGACACCTCCAGAGATTTTCTGAATTCAATGTGGCTTACAATTGACAGATATCCCACATAAAGGTATATTGTTATGCATGTGGGTCAAGAGGAATGTTGTCAAAAAGCACATGGCACATATGTTCTCCTTCTAAAGAACATCACATGGTTTCTAAAGATACTATTTTTGATTCCAAGTAAACTCAGTAGCTGGGAAAGCACATGAGCGGGGATGACAGTGGGCTGGTTGCACTTGCTTATCAGGTAACTTTTGGGGAAATGATACCAGAAGTAGGAACAGGGGGAAAAAACCCTTAATCAATGAGCCTGGCAATAGGTACCTAAAATAATCTAAAACTATAACCACTGTGGAAAAGAAAAAAGGCAATAAGCTGTATATAGTACATAGTATATATTATTCACACATCATAGATCTTTTTTTTTTTTTTTCCTTTTTGTCTTTTTTCGTGACCGGCAATGGATCGCAACCCTCAGTGTCGCGCCTGTACCGGACCGGGACCGGCAACGGGATCGCAACCCTCAGTGTTACGCCCGCACCTAGCTCAGCCAGTGAGCCGCCGGTCTGTATGTGGGATCCGAACCCTCGGCGGGAGCGCCGCCGCACTTCCAAGCGGCACACTGTAGCAGTGCGCCACCGGGCCAGCCCTAAGTCATTTTCTTTTTAAAGAACCAGAGTTCCCAGACATCCCTACTGACAAATTTATTCTGAAGATTAAGATAAATAATTAGTTTCTAGCAGACTACTAATTATTACAGAATCAATAAACTAAGGGGAGAAAAGTACAATATTAGATAAAATGAACCTAACTTACTAAAAAGTTATAATAATTTATGTTTTGAAATAAGTCCTCAGATAAACATCTTTTCAGACATACAAGGGTGTAGAGCTAGGATGGGGTCTGGAACTCACAGACCTCTCGAGCCTGTTCACAAACCCTTCACACGCAGGTCTATGAGCTAGGTAACCAGCAAAAAGGTCCTTGGAGCCTTGGTTGAAGAAAGAATAGTCTTTATTCAGCACACACACATCTAATACCTAGGCAGTCCAAAGAGAAACTCCAAAACTCAACTGCTACTGGCAAAGGCCAAAAGAAAACTGAACAGCTGCCAGCAGAGTAAACATGCTCTATTTTTAGATGCAAGCTCTGCCTGCCAGCACTGCTTCACAAAGAATATACAATAGCAGCAAACCAAAAAGATACATGGGTGCACTTGCACATAACTTCACCCCCACACAACTTGTTTACAAAGAAATGTGCTGCACCACCCCCAACCGGACTTGAGTCCAGGGAACCTGACCAAACTATCTATTTTCCCCACAGAGGGGACTTTGAAAATCCATGGAAAGATTCATATATCTTTTAACTTTATTGTTAAAGTCCCCTCATACAGTACTACAACAACAAAGAGTATAGACAAAACAAGGATTTTACTTACTATGGCATCTTTAACAATTTGTTTGGCCACCTGCTCTGGTTTGCAAACAGATGTGGTCTCTGAAATAAGTCGAGTCTCCAAAGGCTAAAAGTGGGAAAAATGTATATATCAATACCATTATTGTCCATTACATTAACAAATAATTCTTACAGCCCCCTGATTTACAAATAATTCCAATTTTCTACCTTTGAGCTGATTCTCATTTTTAGAATAAAGTCCATCTGGGTTCTACATCAGTTTCTACCTGGTTACTGTGTAAAGTCCAGCCCAGTAGCTGACACAAGACAAAGATGCCCTTGCCATTCTCTGTAGGACGCGTGGGGTCTCAGCTCCAATGAGGACTGTCAAAGCCATAGTGAGAACACATCACTGGATACACATTCAGAAAGACCCCCTCCTGGACTCCTCAGTGCTGTCCAGACACCTGACCAGAGGTGTTTACACAGAGGCTAGACCATGTAACCTGAGCAAGTCTGACCCATGACCAGCATCTCCATTCTGACCATACTCCCAGGCCAGCAGAGAGGACTGACGCCCAGCGACAGAGCTGGGGGGCTGGGCAGGGAGAGCCCCAGCCCAGCCCCCGTTTCTTAAAGGACCTGCAGAGGCGGCAAAGAGACAGGAGGCTGAAAGATCAGGAGCTACTTGCAAGACAGCACTGAGAGGTGCCCAGTTTGGCTGTGTGCTGGTTATGGGGTGGTGCTTCAAACCCCAGATCTTGGCCCTTTTGTCCTTCAAGAGGTGGCTAAAGTCCATCCCAGCTCCTATCTAGCTCAAAATGCCTTTTCTGAATTCTTACCTGGCAGTGATCACTCCCTCTCTCTTATTTGAACATTTCTGCCCTAATATACTCTTACATTATAGCTACTTATGGATTTGCATTTTACCTCCTAAGTTTCTCGTGGGTGGGGTCTTTTTTTCCCATTTATCTTTCATTCCTCTTTGTGGCTGGTGCCTTGCACATATGTGCTCAAGAATACTTTAAATGGGACTTTCAGTGAGAAGTTTCAAACTAAAGCCTTAAACTACAGAGACTGTAAGTTTTATTTACCATGTAGGCTTGAAAAAATTAAACAAAATAAAAACCAGAACATACTGTCTTAAAATAGAAAAGCAAAGCATTTCAGAAAAGTCAAGTATTTCTTGATGGACCTGAATTAAGAGAAAGGCCCTTTTGCAAGTGCCACCATTCACTCTTCCACACTACCAGGTTGGCATAACTATGCTAGATACTCACAAAGGAGATTTAAAAACATCATGGCACCCCCTAAAGGGCCCATAGATCAGTGCAGAATTTTATTTACTGACATTTTACTGTAAGAAAAAATACCAACTTAAACAACATCAGAATCAAATTTTAACAGGGAAATCACCACCCTTCGCTGGCTTTGGCTTCAAACTAAAAAACTGCTTACCAAATGTTGTAAATCTGCTTAGCAGATCTCTGCTTATTCTAAGACAAGACATTTGGATTAAATTTACTTCTTTGAAATACTAGTAATTTTAAGAGGCAGAGCCAAAGAGAAAAAAATAGGAAGAAAAAATCTTCTAAATCATAAACATCTTTTTGCAAATATATAGTCTATGGAGCATAAATGCCAATTTTTTAGCTGTGAAGATTCACAATTACAGAGTATTACTACAACAGAGAAGAAAACAAAAATCTAAAAATCTGAAATTAAAATCAACTACAATTCAAGGTGGTAAGTCCCAATTAATTCCATTCTTCCCACTTTACTTGTTCATTTACTCTGAGAGCAACTACTATGTGTCAAGGCAAACGGATGTTCCATTGAACGAAGTGCAAAGCTTACATTCAGCTCAGCATGACTGGCAGTCATTTTCTATAATGTACATGTCCAGTTGTGATAAGTGCTATGAAGACCCAAATCATCTTCCTTACAATGGCAGATGATTATCGGCTTCCTAATCAGAGACTCCTAATTCTAAAATACCAGCCACCACTAAGAGCAGTTATGAGGTACCATGCTGGAAACAAAAATTAAGCAAAAGCTGGCATTGAGTTTCCCAGCTCTCCTGTCCTGCCTGGGTCTCAAAATGCAGAGAGCAGGTGTTACTATCCCAAAGGTACCTGATTCCTCACTGGGGAAACTGATCAAGCCATGAGAAATGGTGAGCAGATAATGACATATGAGAGTCTTCTGATGAATGGTTGCTTCCCTCCTGATCATCCTATGGTATAGTGAACAGCTGAGAAGCCAAAGCTTACAAATGGCATTTTAGTGCCTCATTCTTAATATGGATAACAAAGATCACCAGATATTTGAGGAAAGACTAAAACAACAGAGAGAAAAAAAAAAAAAAAACTCAGATGAAATAAAAAATACAAAACACAAAAGAAACTTCAAATAAAGAAATAAACAATAAAAACAAGATCAAAAGCCTAGAATGAATATCCTTGGAAATAAGATGAAATATAAAATCCATGAAACAAGGCAAGAAGCTATAGGAAAAACTTTTTAATATATTCAGAGAAAAGAGATCTGAAAGAATTTTTATATAACTCAGCAGTAATAAGAATTTCAACAGGAAAGTTAATAGATAAAGTTAATAAAACTAGAAAGTGGAACAAAAAGACAAAGACAGAGAAAAGAGAAGGAAATTAGAGTCAGTCCAGATAGGCCAACATCTGAATAATAGAAGCTCCAGAAAAAATGAATACTTGAAATAACCTGGATGGAAAGAAATGATCAAGGAATATAATAAAACATCTCGGAACCAAAGTTCATGAGTTGACAGAATAAAAGAGCTCATTTGAGTGTCTATCATATGAAACGAGAAGACTTCACACCAAAATACATTAAATAAAGACAGGGATAAAAAGCTTTCAAGGGCCGGCCCGGTGGCGCACTGCTACAGTGCACTGCTTGGGAGCGCGGCGGCGCTCCCCCCGAGGGTTCAGATCCCACGTACAGACCGGTTCCCGCTCACTGGCTGAGCGAGGTGTGGGCGCAACACCGAAGATTGCGATCCCGTTGCCAGTCCCGGTCCGGTACGGGCGCGACACTGAGGGTTGCGATCCGTTGCCGGACACGAAAACAGACAAAAAGAAAGAAAAAAAAAAAAGCTTTCAAAAATAAATAGAAAAATACGTTCTATGCAAAAGGCTGGGAATCAAAATGGCATTAAATGACCAATAGAAACTCTAGAAGCTTGAAGTTAGTGGAGAAATGTCCATAAAAATCTGAGGAAACCTTATTTCCAACCTAGTATTCTGTATCCAACAAAACAATCCATCAAGAATAAATGGAAAATAAAGGCATTTTCAGATACACATGTTCTAAAAATATGTTACCTCTGATGTGCCCTTCCTTGGGAAGTTCCTGGAGTACAGCTCCACCAAAACAAGCTAATAAACCAAAACTGTGGAAAACGCTGGATCCAACAAGGGAAAAGAGAACCTGCAGCATGATGGTAAATAAGTACTGACAAGTACTTAGATGACCGCTGAGTGGCAGAGCTGGATTGGGCCAGGAATATGGAGGGTTCAGAAGAAATGTCTTTAAGGAAAAAAAAAAAAAGGAAACTAACAGAATACCTGATGTGTTCAAATCGATCAAAAGGACATTTGCAGTTCTGTCTGAATCTAGGATTGAATTAGTTATAGATACATACAAAGCTAAGTAAATAAAAAAGCAAGACAGAAAATGCCATTATAGAATGACTGAGGTGTGAATAATACTTATAAAGTCATATTAATACAAACACTGAGTCTGGTTTAACCAAAGAGAGGGGGCGGAACATAGAGAGTGGGAATAGATATGAGTCATAAATTTTATCTTCCACAGCAGAAAGTCCATAAATAATTTCTAAATCTTAAAAGAAAGAAATCACAGTATGAACATGTTAGCTTAGATAAATGGCTGCCTCTGGGGAAGTGGAAAGATGTGGCAAGGACTGACGTTGGACCTCTAAAACTGTGTGACATATTACTTCGATAAAAATCTGCTAAAAATTAACTTAAATCTTAAGAAAAGGGGGCAGAGAGGAAGGAAAGGAAGGCCTGCCTCGGAGGACCTCAGGGACCAGCTCAGCACTGTACCCAACAGATACTCAATAAACACGGTTGACTGACAAACGTGACTGTGAGCTGAAGAGTAGAAAGAAAAGCAAAAAAGAGGTTTACAATATTAAAGACTGAAAGTGGGACACGTAGAAGGAATACCGACCTTTGTTTCATTTTCTTTGGCAAACCCAGGCGTGTCTGTGTCTGGCGGGTAGGCAACTGTGACATACACATTGTACGGCTTCACCTGCATTGTAGAAACAACGTTTGCACCTTCAGTAAACAAGACACAAGTCTGCATCCTCCGTTACCAACCTGCATCGCCTGCTCTGGCTTTTGGAAGGGGGGAAGGCCAACGGGGTGATTCTGCAAGTGGAGAACTGACACCAGCCACATCAGGGAACCCCTCTCCTCGTGGATGATGAGAAAGGAAGGCAAGAAGCTCGCCCTAACCTCTACCCCACAAAACAGCTGACCCTAAGGTACGGCAAATCGCCTCCTTTTCAGTGTCTTCTGCTCCCGTTGACCAGGCACAGGGCCCGGGAGCTATCCAATGAAAACAGAAGACAGTGTTTTTAAAAAAAGTCTATTCAGGGCTGGCCTGTGGCTCACTTGGGAGAGTGTGGTGCTGATAACACCAAGGCCACGGGTTCGGATCATACATAGGGATGGCCGGTTGGCTCACTTCAGAGAGCGTGGTGCTGACAACACCAAGTCAAGGGTTAAGATCCCCTCACCGGTCATCTTTTAAAAAAAAAAAAAAAAAAAAAAAAGTCTGTTCATTCTTCCCCATACACTACACACCATTCAGGCACTTTTTCAAGCAATGCGATCAGTGTGCTCCTTACAAACCAGATTGCAATTTGTTTTCCCTTCAGGCTGTTATCTTATACTCTTGTGTGGATTTCACCTTCAAGATACCTTATGATCATTAAAATCCCTTCCCTATGCCCTTCTCATACCCCCAGACCCAGGTCTAGGTCTAGATCAACCCCTTGAAAAGGTTGCTTATTCAAGGATTCCCTGTGCAAGCAGCCCCTGCCCATTAGGAGGTCAGGAGTCACTTCTTTCTCCAAGGAGTTTCCCACTGGGTGGAACCCCCAGTCAGACCAGCCAAACACGTCCTCTGTGGACAACTCAATCTCTATTTGCATTTAGAAACTCCTCCCCCACCCCACCCCACCCAGTTTTTGTTTACAATTCCCTTGCCTCATCTGAAATCCATCTTACTCTGTGTATCTCACCACCATCCGTCCACACTTAACTCTCCCACTCATAAATACTTTCCCAACAAGTACAGTAGATTCTTTTGCTGGCCAGCCAAGACACGCCCTTCCTAAAGACTCTGCTCAGCATCAGCCCTGCTAAACACTTGTATCTTGCCCTGATAATTAGAGACTCTAAGAGTAATGTTTCATACAATCAAACGCTCTTTGCCATGATTTTTATTTGCTATTGGCTCACTCTTTAGTCCCTGAAAACACCTAGGGGGTTTGGAAGTGGAGAGGCAGCTGATCGCAAGGCTGGCCACTGCAAATCTTCAGAAGAATACATACCCTGGGCTGAAAACCGACCATACCACTGCCTAATGCAACAGTCTCTAAGGGTATCCCAGGATACTGCCTTAACATGTGCCTTAACTTTTTCTCCTTAGTTCCCTCTGTGTAGCATAGTCCTGAAGCCTGTGCGGGGAACTGCAAGGGTCGGGAAGCATGTGGAAGTGTGCGAGCAGATCCCGGCCAGCCTTCCTGAAAAGTGAGGCAGCAAAAGGAAGATGTCTTTGTCGGCTATGTTCCAGGGCAACTAGGGCGTGAGAGAACCCATTCACTCAGCATCAACAGGCATGTGGCTTCACGGCCCAGATAGGCTCACGAACAGCTCTGGATTGGGGCCAGGCAGTGAGGATGATGAGCAAGCAATTTCTCTCCACTTGTTTTTGAGATAGTGACTTAAAAAACTTGTCTCTCATAGCCCTGTCCTCTGTTGTGCACAGACAGAGAAAACAACACAAATAAGCCAGTAAGTGGTCATTAGCCAGCCCACACAAAGACCGAAGCTGACTCTTCTGTCAGCTTCTCTGGCCCCCTCTCCCACAGTGAAGACCGTGGTACCTAAACTAATGTAAGACAGTATTTCAAAGCAGAGTTCCTCAAACTCAAGGTCATGGATGAATTGCCACAGGTTAAAACAGAGCTTTTCAGGATAGCTTTCTCATGGGGTAGGAATGCAACTGTTGGGGTTAAGAGAAACCAGTGTAATCCCTTCCTGGGCTGGTATCCTCTCTACAACCATCAAGCCAAATGACTCTTGTGGTTGGATACCTCCAGTGGCTAGTAACTTAACCATTTATGCCATCTGTTATTTATTAATCCATTGAACATGTACTGAATTACAACTATGTGCAAATATCATTCTAAGAACAAAGCATATGAATGTGAACAAAACAGACATAACCTCTGCCCTCATGGAGCTTCTGGTCTTCTGAAACTCTTGGTCAAATAATTTGCTAAAGTATGAATACACTAAACTATAACTTCCTTTAATCTATTCATCTCATAACTCTATCAAAAAAGGAAACGAGGGGGAAAAAAGGAAACAAGAGTAGTTTGGCTTCCCTTGTTGGTAAGACAATGTTGACTCCCTAAGGTCACCACTTTTTCTGGGAATACTTTGCAGGTCTTCACTAACTGACTCCCCTCTTCCTAGCCCCTGTCTGCTTCTCCTTGTCTCTGTTCTCTGACCATTCTCGGTCCTCTCGCTCTGCCCCAATCCCACCCTATGATCCCTTTCTCCCTTCTACCTGGCCTCAGCCTCAATCAGAGAGACAACCAACTGCAACCACTTGCTCAAGAGTGGATTCATTATCACAACAATCCCACCTAGGAGTGCTGTTCCTCATTCCATCAAAACAAAGATATGGGGGCTGGAGAAATTATAGCTGTTTACATGAACCTCCAGAATTTAAGCTTTAACTTACCTTCAGACTGTAGTGGGAAGAGACTGGGGGGAAAGGATGATTGGGATAAGAGGCACAGAAGGGAGAACACCTGTTTGTTTGTTTGTTTTTTTTTTTTTTTTTGGTTTTTTGCTTGGTCTTTCCTACCACATCTTCGGCTGTAACCCACCTTAGATGTCTGCTTTTCAAAGAGATTAACTTTTAAAATCTTTAAATGATTTATTTGTACCGAAAAAACTGCATAAGAAAAAAGACCCCAAAAATGCTAACAAAGCATTCTTTCAAAATTACTCATTGTCCCTACAACATTTCCAGGGTCCTTGCTTAGTTTGGAAGAAGGGGAGGTAGCCAGGAAGACTTAAATGTTAATTAAGCCAAAAAGTAACATCAAAAGTATTCAGAGTTTGAGCAGTTACACAAGGTTGCATTCACAGAAAATACAGCCACCTTAATCAAATTACCCCAGTTTCAAAATACACTGCTATAAGTTCGTAGGAAAAGAACCACTGGTTTGATTCAAGTCCTACTTTGAGAAAAATAAAATTTGATAACTGAATTTATTTTTCCCCACACCTATTTTTCATAGTGTATGTTTATTTTATTTTTTAGGTGAGGACATATTTAATGGAGTCCAAATATGGACAGAAGCCAAGCAGACTTGCAGGCCCAGGCCAGCTCCCTGCAGTGTATGAATCACACTTGTCACAAAGAAGCTGAGGGGACTCTTTCTGCACTAGCAACTCTCTTTTCCCTCTCTTTTAGTAGCACCTTCATTCTACCTGAAATGGAACCAGGCCACCCGGATTATACACTTTGCCCTACATTAGTGAATCCTGACGTAGCTCTGCAAGACAAGACGGAGGGACAAAAAGCCCTCATGAGCAGATGGTTTGTCTCCAAAACACCCCTTCACCTACGTAGATTCTAAGACCAACGTGCAGGCCTGAGGCAACCAGCCAGATGAATCCAGCAACTTCTAACCTGAATCGCAGATACATCACCTGCTGCAAAAAGATCAGCAGACTTGGAGTCAAAGGCCTGGGCCTTGTTACTATTTCTGTCACTAAGTAACTGTGACTTAGAGCAATTCATGGATTGTATTGAAAACTCAGTTTATTATCTGTAAGGTAGCATAACCATATCCACCTCACACACTTAACAAAATTTGATAAAAATAAAATGGTTACTCACAAAAGGACTCTTCAAAGTAAAAACTGCCACAGAAATACCAGTATTCTTGTTTGACATTTCACAGCCATGCATGCCCTATTGGCTAAGCATATTATAATGTCTGTTACTGTTTAAGAGCATCTAGCCAGTTAATAACAGTGATATCTGTGGCTGGTTCCTTTGGTACGAGAACAGCATCATCGTCTATTAGTGGCACATCAGGACTCAGTTACGAAGCCAACAACTCATCTGCACTGCAACGCTCATCCAGTATCTAAGCAGTGTGGCACTCTGCCACACACCATCAAGGTCTCTTCTAGGGATCTTCTAAACAGGGGTCAGCAAACTATGGCTCGTGAGCCGAATCTGGTCTCTGCGTATTTTTATAAAGTTTTATTGGAACACATTACACTTGATCATTAACATATTGTCTACTACAGCTGCCTTCCGGCCACCGCAGCAGACGTGAACAGCTGTGATAGATACCTCTATCCCTCAAAGCGAACGTATCTATTATCTGACCCTTTACAGAAAAAATTTTGCCAATCCCTGATCTAAATCATTCACCAGGATTCCCAAAAGCACACTCTTAAGTACAAAAGGGCTTGGCCACAATGAATTCTCTTCTGGAATTTTAACACCACGATGTAGTGTTATATTTCAGAACATACTGCAATAGAAAGAATTTACCTTACCTTTCCAGTACAAGATTTTGGACAGATATATATGTGATGCTCTCTAAGCATCTCCATGTGACAATAATGCACAAGTCTACTTTGCACACTGAGGTATAAAGTTGTCCACATCATGACAAACACTTATTTTGATGCTAATCCTACCTACACCCTTCTTCCACAAAATGTTCTATTAACTATGAAATCAGAAATCATTCACTTTCCTCAACATTTCTCTAAGATGTGAAAAGACAAGTATTAAAAGAGCCAAATGGTTTTTTTTATTCCAACCCCATTCAGATGAGGAAACTGAGACCAAGTTAAATGACTTGTCTAAAAGCTAAGAGTTAGACAGTAGCTGATCAAGCTCTTTCCTCAAACATAGTAATTTTATTATGCATCACAAGGACAGATCTTTTTGTTAAAGATCTTTATAGAATAAAATTTCTGATTAATAACTTCACACGTACTCACACAGCATCAGACCAAAATACTACGAAAATATTACTAGTACTTTGTATATTAAACAAGCAAAAACCCCATAACCATTTTGCTTCTGTTATAACTACAATAATCTTTATGCACTGAAACATTTTAACTGCAACAAAGGGTTGAGCCAATTCTCTTTCACTGTCATATTTACGTATCTCTAGTTTAATACAATAACATGTGTAAAGCAGCTACAAAACTAAAGAGGAATAGATATTGCTGAGCTGAGAGGAATAGATTCAAAACTGAATATGACTTTTACCTCCATCTGCAAAGCTTCGGCCAATCCCCTTAGAGCAAACTTAGATGGTGAGTAGGCCGTGAACCCGAACAAACCCAACTGTCCCGCCTGAGAGGACACAAAGACGATCCTGCCCACCCGGCGCTCCTTCATGGTGGTGATCACCGCTCGGCTGGGGTACACGCTGCCCAGGTAATTGATGCTCATTAATTTCTGCAGGGAACAAAGAGGCCACACGAGGAGTGAAAAGGTCAAAAGTCTGAAGACTGCATTCAACAGGAATTTTGTCTGCTTTCCAGATTTAAGCTCTTCAATAGAAGCCCGAATGACTAGGGGGCTGAACAGATTTGTTGATAAATAAATGATTAAATGGTGTTGCAAATGAAACGTGATGCTCAGGACCTACCACCCAAAACTGACTTCAATTTAGTCGTGCATCCTTGCAAAGATAGCAGCTGTGTCTTTGCTGAAAACTGGTCAAAATTAGTTTTCTCCTTATAAAAAAGTACACTGCACATTGCGGGTGATGCTTTTTGAAAGACAGTTTCAGGAAAGAGCTTCTGAATATTTCCAGCCCTATTAGTTCTAAGCTAAAGAAAGACCACAAAGACAGCAGGATGGTGAGTAACAGTATGAATTTTGGCTTCAAGCCTTGGCTCTATCATCTACTTCCCATTTGATGATGAATAAGAAAGTCAGACATGCTACTCATTTTCTCAGCTGAAAAAGAGACATTAATATTGGTACCACCTCAGAGGGCTGCCGCAAGGATTTGAGGAGAAAACTCACCTTAAACACTAGCACAGCCCCTGGCCCGCGGTGAGCCCTCAATACACACTGGCACTTACATTATGATGGGTAACAGCTCACACAGGTACTATTGGTGTATTTTCCTCTCATCCTATGAACTCTTTAAAACCTTTAATTTTAACTTGAAAATCTAAGAATGCTTGCATTGAAATATTTCTATATTACTTGCATTAAAATGTTTCAAATATTCAAATATTTGCAAAAATATTAGATCTATCATTCTGTAAAACTAAACACTTCAACTGGGGAACTTTAAGTCAATCGTGATGCAGTAACTCACTTGAATATTGGGTAATTTTTTAAAAGGATGACCAGAAACACTGGGAATGACAGGGGGAAATATTTATACTGTAAGTTTAAGAAAAGTAAAAGGCAGACTATATTTACACTGTGACTGTAACTACTTTAAATATTAAATAAAAGTACACATGCACAGGTGCAAAACCAAGGAAATATAGAAAATTGTAAGTGACTGTGTTAGGATGTTGGCATTCCCATTTTTCTCCTAAAATATATTTTAAGATCATTACATTGTTTTGATTATTCTAAAAATGTATTTGAAAAAAGATAGCACACTGAACCCAAGTATTTATCTCTTCCCTTTAGAGACCCCACTAAAATCTCAATATAGAGATTTATTTTTAAGGAAAGAACCCACAAGAACAAAGAAAATAGGAATAGCAATGATATTTTGGAAGCTGTAGAACAGAAATGATGAGTGATACCTTAGCAGACAACAGAAAACTGAATGCTAAGCGGGAAGCAGAGAAACTAAAAGCAGGACTGAAGCACAGAACCCCCCAAAGGCTCAAGCAGCACCAAGTATTTCTGGGGCAGGGGTAAGGGGTGGGTGGGCACAGGGCTGAAAGACAGGAGTATGAACTAAAAGTCTTTAAAAAGCAGTCAGCAGTCGGCCAGAGCATGGTGCTGATAACACCAAGGTCCAGATTTTGATCCCTGTCCTGGCCGGCCACCAAAAGAAACAGTCAGGTAGAAACAGCTCAAATGTTCATCAGCGATGGACGGATGAATGAAATGTGGTATATACATGCATGGAATATTACCAACCTGTAAAAAGTAATGAAGCACTGATACGTGCTAGAGTGTGGATGAGCCTCAAAAACATTATGCCTGGTGATCCTTAGCAGTGTTTTCACATTTAAGAAAGGGGCACTAAAGGCCTGGTTGGGAGTTCCAGTCTGTGCCCGTGGGCCCTGTAGGGCCATATCGATTTCAATGTCAGTATCTGTGGGTCTTTTCTTTGGGGTTGCTCAGAAGCCTAGGAGAAGAGTCTTCTAGTCTCCTGTCTAGGAAATATATGCCTGTTCACAATGTTGCAAGTGTGAAGTTGGGGAAGAGTTCGAGTCTCAGTGTTCAGTGTCTAGACAGACTTTCCCTTAAACTCTCACTTTATCTAGACTTACTCTTTCTAGAAACTAAACCTCCAGTCTCCTGCCAGGCTAAAGGAGGGGCACAGATGTGCTCTGTGGAAAGGGAAAAGTCATCCTTTTTTTTGTCATCATTATTCTACATCAATTTTTTTTTTTCAGTTGAGGTAAAATTCATATAACATAAAATTAACCATTTCAAAGTGAACAATTCAGGGACATTTAGCACATTCACAATGTTGTGCAACCAACACTTCTATCTAGTTCCAGAACATTTTTGTCACTCCAAAGGGAAACCCACACCTGTTAAGCAGTTGCTCCCATTCACCCCGTCTTCCCCCAGTCTCTAGCAACCACCAGTCTGTATTCTGTTGTGTTTTGTACAGATGGAATTGTATATATGCCCTTTTGTGTCTGGCTTCTTTTACTTGGCATAATGTTTTTAAAATTTTTTTTACAAAGATGACCAGTAATGGGATCTTAACCCTTGACTTGGTGTTGTCAGCACCACGCTCTCCCAAGGGAGCGAACCAGACATCCCTACATAGGGATCCGAACCCGTGGCCTTGGTGTTGTCAGCACCACACTCTCCCAAGTGAGCCACGGGCGGGCCCAAACTTGGCATAATGTTTTTGAGGCTTATCCACACTCTAGCACGTATCAGTGCTTCATTACTTTTTACAGGTTGGTAATATTCCATGCATGTATATACCACATTTCATTCATCCGTCCATCGCTGATGAACATTTGAGCTGTTTCTACCTGACTGTTTCTTTTGGTGGCCGGCCAGGACAGGGATCAAAATCTGGACCTTGGTGTTATCAGCACCATGCTCTGGCCGACTGCTGACTGCTTTTTAAAGACTTTTAGTTCATACTCCTGTCTTTCAGCCCTGTGCCCACCCACCCCTTACCCCTGCCCCAGAAATACTTGGTGCTACTTGAGCCTTTGGGGGGTTCTGTGCTTCAGTCCTGCTTTTAGTTTCTCTGCTTCCCACTTAACATTCAGTTTTCTGTTGTCTGCTAAGGTATCACTTTGGGACTAATACCCAAACTCCTTACCCAGCTGCCAATCACTCAGGAAGCTCCTCCCAGACAGGCCTCCAAGTCAATCCTGGAATCTGCCAAGCTCTGTCCGACCACGGGGACTTTCAACATGCCTCATGACATATAGATACTTTATGTCTACTCTCATCTCTCCTGCTTCACATTTTATCCTTGTCACCGATACTCACACACGTCCACCTGGTATTATACACTTAGTTGCTTCTATTCTCCTTCACAATCAGACACCTCCACAAAACATCCACTCACTGCCAATTAAAAAATGTTTTGCACTTAAAAAAGACTTTAAATCTAATGTCCATTTCTTTAGTACTGAAATAAATTACTAAGAGAGGTTCTTTGCAAACCTGTTTAAAAATAAAAACATAGGAGTTCTGGTCAAGATGGCAGAATAGACAGTCCCCAGTATCACTCTCTCCCACAAATCAACCAATTTACAACTATAAAAATATAACATCAGCCAAGCTGGGGCCACTGGAGCTCAGGGGAAGAGGAGGAGAGACATACAGAGTTCATGAAGGCAGGAGAAACCACAATGAGAGAAAGAAAAAACTGCTTGGAGTGTTTCAGGCCATGGCTGCTTTAAGGCTGGAGCTGCTGAGTGCATGGAGCAGGAGCTGGCAGAAGCTGCAGCCGTGCCCTTCTAATAGAGTTACTTGGAGGCAGCAGGGAAGAAGAGGGCCTTAGTGGCCCCCAGGAAAGCAAGACCACTAATAGCGTTCCCGTGGACCCATGCAGGAGCGAGGAGCCAGAACAGCTGAAAAACGGGAGCCATACAGAGGCCAGTGAGTCATTGCAAGAGACCAGCGCAGGGCCCGCCCCATGGGAAGTGTTTGGAGCATGGGTGGTGGGGGAGACAGGCCCACTGGGAGAACACAGACACAGCAAGGGCAGCCGATCCACCCCCCAGTCAGTGTAGGACCATGCAGAGGAGACTGGTTGGGAATGCAGAATTGCATGGGGTGCAGTTTGATGAAAAAACTTAGGCCCAGATCAGAGTTTCTACACTGTGCAGGTGCACCGGGTCTCTGGAGAGCCGGAAGTACCTATAAGGTCAACCATTAAACCCTGAGCTGCACAAAAAGCCTTCCCTAGGAAAACAGCAGCAAAGCAGCAATTTAACTCAACCACACAGCTCAAGTAATGGCGCCCACAGGAAGTTCCCCCATTTTAGAAGTAAGCAAAGGACAAAAAATTAGTTCTAGCCCAGGCACACCTCCAGTGCCTTGGGGCCCACCAGGGGACATGAGGCATGGATCTGGGGACGGACCCCCACCAACAACCACTCACACAGCCAGCACCACTCACACTGAGGCTTGGAGCCGGGGACTGGACCCCCTCCCACATCCAGGCACACTGCCAGTGCCTTGGGGCCCCACCCAGGGACCTGAGGCATAGATCTGGGGACTGGATCCCCCTCCCACAACCTGGCACACCACACCAGCACCTCAGGGCCCACCTGGGGACCTGAGGCATGGAGCTGAGGACCAGACACTCCCCACAACCAGGCACACTGCCAGTACCAAGGAGCATGCCAAAAACATCACCTCCATGTGGGTGGCCCACCACAGCCACCACAATAACCACAGCTGCTGCGAAAGTGGCTAGACACCACATCCACCACGCAGATGGTCTGCCAGCCACTGGAGTGCATTGATACAAGGAGAGTCACCAGCAGAGATAAAGAAAAGAAGAGGATGTCTCTCTCCACAAAGCCCATTTCAGAGTGACAGAAGCAGCATCTGCTCTATGATAATATTGGAGGACCTGATCACACCTCTCAGCATTGGACAGATCATCTAAGCAACAAATCAACAGAGTAAACATGCTTTCAGAAGGAGAGAAGAAACCTAGGGTAATTAGAGAGGGGAGGGGGGAGGGAGAGGGGGATGGGGAGAGTTTGGACAAGGGGCATAAAGAATAATTATGATTTGCAACAATATATATGCTAGTAATATTGATTTGATCAACATATCTCAATATTGAACCTCCAAAATATGTATAATCAATTTTGATTAAATAAAAATCAAAAAATAAATAAATAAAAATAAAAACATAAATAAGCTGCAGTATCTTTTTATATTGATTACAGAACTCTAACAGGTCTATCCTTCAGCTTTTTTGGTTTCTCACTGTTAATAATACTGATACTTGACATGAATATCCAACAACTCTTGGTTTACAAAGTGTTCTATTGAACATACAAACTCAGAAATCATTGCAGTAATTTGTGTCAGATTAGAAATATCATTCCCATTTTACAGCTGAGAAAACTGAGGTTTAGAGAGTTGTCTAAACTTTTTTTTTTTTTCTTTGCTGCTGGCTGGGTCAAGGATCCAAACCCTTGCTCGACCTTGGCGTTACCAGCATCACACTCTACCATTGTCTAAACATTTAAGGTTAGATGGTCATGACACTGGGACCAAAACACTGTTCAGCCTTCCTCTAGTCTTCTCAAGCTTCTATGAACATCTGAATGCATCCATCTATTTCATTCTTAAAGCCTTAACCCATGGCTTGTCCCACTTTTCGTATACAGGCTACCCCAGTGAGCAAACATTTTTACTTACTTCAAAAGTACTAACTTCAAGATCTTCAAATTTTCCTGACAGTGACATTCCTGCACAGTTTATGAGCATGTCCACTGGACCCAGTTTCTCCTGTGCCTAGAAAAATGTATCAGAGCAGGCATTAAAAAGAGAAAAATCATTTAGCAGCAGATCAATGCTAATAAATAAAATCTATGAAACTATTAAACCTATAGGGAAGATTTGCCAATTCCAACCCACATAGCAAAATGGTAAGAACCAGTCAAAATTCAAGTGCATTAATTCCAATTAGCCCAACCTCTTACTTGTTTTATGACATTCTCTACTTGTTTATAGTCTTGAGAGATATCAACTGATATACAAAGCACCACCTGTTAAAAAGAAAAAAAAATGATCAAAGACATGCAGGTTTCGAATTATTTTTCTAAAGATTTTTTTTTTTTTTTAGTTAGAAGCAATTTTTTCCAATAGAGAATTTTTTCCAATTACATTCCGACTTTGAATGTAAAGATTACAGTGTTTAAAATCTGCTGATAATGCAATTAGTAGAGTCTAATTTTTCTGGCAGTTTTCAGAGTTAAGCAAACTCCAAAGAATGCTTTAAGAAATGTAAATATGCTCCTTTTTAAATGTCATTAATTTATAGTGACAGACAGCAGACCAGAGGTCACCTGCAGACAGAAGAGGAGGATGGGATGGGCTATAGAAGGGCATGAGCGGACTTCAGGGAGTGACGGAAATGTCCCCTATCTGGATTGTGGTGGTGTTTTCCAAGTGGTACATTTGTCAAAAGCCATCAAGCTGGACACTTTAAATGTGTGTGGTTTGTTGTATAAAATTATATCTCAATAAGTTTTTAAAAAGAATAATAGTAAACCAAATTTATAAATAAGCTTTAAAAATACTCCCCCTGAAGCAGTCTCAGAGCTATGACTACCCCATTAGGATTCAATGTTGGTAAGTGAAACAAAGGGATAAGCGAACACTACTAGAAGTCACTCAATTTGGGCCCATGCTTGAAGACTGAGTCAGGGGACAGCCCAAGTGGACCATGGGACATTATCTGACAAGAAAGGCTGAGGGTCATCCTTGGCCTGCAGGAGCTGAGCTAGGAGCCAAGTCACATTCTGAGTTGTGCTGGAGATCCTTGTCTCTGGAACCGACCAGGCCATTCACAGATTCTCTATGCAAGGGGTCCCCAAGCAGACCCTAGAGTCCACCCAGTACAAACCCGGCCAGGCTCAGGGCTTCACAGCACAGCGTGGTGGTGGGTAAGAGCTCGGCCTGTGCTTACACAGAAAACAATTTCATTTAGACTTTGAAAAGAAAAAAGAAAGGAAAGGAAGAAAAAAAGGGGACAAAAAGCACATACTTACGTGCTTACTTTAACAGAAATGTATGAAATAGAAGTTCAGAGTTGTAATAGGGATGAATAATGGGCTACTGATTTAAATTTCCTTTTAGGGTAGTGTTTTTCAAATCCAGGGGTTACACCATTATATAGGGATGTTCTATGTGCCAAAAGGAAGTTGTTACAAAAAGCAGAAAGGTGTTCTCGATCTCTTAGCCTTTCCATAAATTCTTCCCTTTTGAGATTGGCTCCCCAGCTAACAGGGAGACAGTACACGAGTGTACGGGAGTCACATCCACATGGAAACAATAGGCACCACGCAGAGGGACAAGGCCAAGGCACTGTGCTGTGCTGCAAGGAAACGCACTGCATTTGTGAAGCCTGGGCCCCAACACTGGCTCCTCATTTACTGGCTGAGCAGAACCTGCGAAGGGAGCGGTGGCCTCTCCTGCAGATAAGGGCATCAGAAGCCAATGATGACCAAGCTTCTCTCCAGCTCTAAGAAGCCATGCCAGAGTGCTGAGCGAAAAGACACCCACTGCCTTAAGATTTGATACAGCAGGTAGGACGTTTAATTTAATGCAAGAGAGAACCTGGTCCTAATGATCTAAATTCTTAAGAAGAGGAAACAGCCCCCTTCACAAATATAACCTGCAATGTTCCAGATTAGAGGGGTTGCTCTAACATACCAAAGGAGATTTTATCCCCACATCATCACACAGAAAACATTTTTTAAAAGAGAGTAAGAATCATATGATTCATTTCAAAACATGCCTTTTCACTGAGTGTTAGATCACTTACTGTAAATAAAATCTATACCACAGATAAGTGAAATTAAAAAAAAAAAGTTAACAAATTACCAGAAAAAAATGCCCACAGGGCACTGCCTACCCTCAGTGGGTAGCAACTAGCACAGCAGTGACCTGGAAGAAGGATCTAGCTCATTCTTGCCCACCCCAGCTCTGTTTATCCCCCATCCGTTGATGTGAAAGACAAGACTAATGCCCTTGGCTAGATGAAGAGGGATAGAGTCAGGATGAACAAGCCCAGAGGAGAGACATGGTGCTGGCAGCAGGCAAGACTAGCCTTCAGCTGTAGGCAGTCAAGCTTCATGGTTTTACACCATACTCTTTTCTCTATCAGAAGTTACATGAGGGCTGGCCAGTTAGCTCAGTTGGTTAGAGCATAGCCTTATACAAGGTCACAGGTTTGGATCCCCATACAGGCCAGCTGCAAAAGAGAGGGAGACAGAGAGAGAGGGAGGGGAATTTGGGGAGCTGGTGTCCTTTTAATGTTTGTAGGCTTTACAGAAGAGGGTATAGGCTTAGGATACAGTCCTGGAGAAAAACTCATATATGTAGACAAACAGATGTCAACAATGATTTTTATCTGCAGCATACATTGCAAAGCAAAAAAAAAACAAAAACAAAAAGGAAACAGGGAACAACAGGGGACTCACTAAATAAACTCTGGTGTACCCAGTACTGTGTTGCAGCAGTTTAAAAAAAAAATAAGGCATATTTATTTTTATTGACATGGAAAGATCTCTAACATACTCTGGAAGGAAAAAATGGCAATTAAAACCACAGTGAAATACTTCTAAAAGTCCATCAAAAAAGCAAAAATTAAAAAGTCTGCCAATACCAAGTGTTGACAAGGGTGTGGAGCAACAGGCATCACCATCCTCTGCTGGTGGGAGCGTAACCACCCGGTGAGGTTGAAGACACATGTACGCTCCAACTCAGCAATTCCATTTCTAGGCATATACTGTTCTTGCACATGTGCACAGAGAGACATAGTAAAAAGTTTTGTAATCGCAAAAAACAAAAATAACAGAAAAACTAGAAACAACCTAAATATCCACCAATAGTGAAATTGATGAACAGAAGGTAGTCTGTACACACATCAGAATACTACAGAGCAGTAAAAAATGAATGAATTTTTACTTTATGCAGCAACGTAGATAAATTTAAAAATGATATCAAGTGAAGAAATCAAGCTGCATAAGAGTGCATAAAGAATGATGTTATTATACAAATGGAGAGACAGAAAGCAGATTAGTGATTGCCTAGGGCCGAGAGGGGGTTGGCAGGGAATGGGAAGTGACTGCTGATGGATACGGAGATTCTTCATAGGGTGATGACAACGATGCAAATGTTCTAAAATTGATTCCAGTGAAAACCTCCGAATTATACACACTGGGTCAATTATAAAAGCTGCTAAAAAAATAAGAATGATGCCATAAAGCTCAAAAAAGAAGCAGAGCTAAACAATATACTATTCAGGACCACATTCATATAGGATAAAATTATAAAGAAAAGCAAAGGAAGGATCAACACAAAAATCAGGTTGGGAATTACCTGTTGGAATGAGATAAGAGCAACGTGGCTGATGAGGAGCTTGAGGGGCATTAGAGACCTCAGAAAATCCTATTTCTTAAGCTGGGTGATGGGTCTGTGGTTATTAATGTGGTATTATATTTTATACTGAAATATACATTATTGATCTATACCATTTTATTAATAAAAAAAATTCCATAACGAAAAAAAATTTCTAAATACATTTTCCTCTCAAGCATGTGTATAAAGTTCATTTAAATAAATAATTGAAATGAAACCATTTTGTGGTAAGACATTCCATTATTTGGCCCTTTGTGGATGTAAATGCGTGTGAGAATCTATACATTTTTTTTTTTTTGGTAATAACCTAAAAAACTGTCTCCTAGACAATTCAAACAATTTCACCTTTTTAAAAACAGTCCACTATGTCTTTTATTCAGGGAAATCATATATGCTTTCAATGAACTGAGTCACAATTGAAGTAACCCTTTTTTTCCTTTATGCAACTGTGTTGATTTGTACTGAAAGTGCATTCTGAAGACAATGAATTTACCTGTTTATCATTAATAGAGTGCTTTTCAATTTCTTTCTTTGCCTGCAGCAGCTTGTCCTGAAAGCAATACAGAACAATTAGTTTTGGTGATTGTCGATGTCTGTCTGCTTATTTGTTGAAAAGGAGAAAAAAAGCAATTATTTGTATAAGTATTTATTAAATTCAAGAAAACACAAAACAGCACTTACATTGCATAGCTGTGGGCCATAGTCTACGAAAGAAGCTATAAAATATATTAAACTATGAATGAATGATAGCAAGTTTTTAAATTCATTGCAGAGAAAGATAATAGAAAAGTAAATGAACCTCAAAATCCCAGTTAATAGTTTTTTTGCATCTTGCACAAAATATGTCTTATTATTAGCTATAGATAATATGTTTTCACACATGCTGAACTACTGTTATCCTCATTGCCCACGGTGGCAGAAGTCTGTGTCTCCAAAAAATGGCAAGTCATACTGCTTATTAATTTACATATAATCCCCAACATGTACATTAAAATGTATTTTATATACAACACAAACAGGATTAAAATTTCCCAAGAAGGTCATTAAGGTATCCCAAGTGTTACAAGCCAGAGGTTCTGCTTTCTTGTGGATGGGGCTTGTAATTGTTCTAATCAGGCTCAAGTAGGCAGCAGGTGTTGCTGGGTGAAGGGCAACATCACAAGGAAGGTCCTGGACAACTGGTTGCCTGGATTAGGTGCACAAGAGGACCTGGGACTGATGCTGAAGAGATGAGAGGCTTCCCTTTCTGCATACATAAATGGAAGAAGTTACCTCTGACCTCTTTAGAACTTGCCCTGTTGTTCCAAACAACAGCTGGTGAATTATTTAACCAATATATGAAAAGATAATCTCTACTCTAAGGTCCCCCAATTAATAGCATTAATTGATGACGGTCACCTTATCAATTCTAATACATGTTTTGATCTGGCATGATTTAGTTGTGACATAAAACAAGAACCACCATAATAAATGCGATGTTTCCCAAAGTTAAGGGTCTGCATGATTCCACGTAACAGTACTTTCGTAATATATCGTCCAATATTTTCCTCCTTTGTTATAAAAGCAAAAATGGTAAAAATCGGTTTTTATATGAATTAGGTCAACCTATGCCTGGCTACTTTCAAAACTGGTCTTAAGACAAGCAGTGTATTATACCCATGTAATTAATTTTTCCAAGGTTTCCATTTTGTTTGTTTTACTTATTTTCAAGAAAACAGATACTGGTTTGCAGTATCTTAATTGGCTATCGAAGTATCTTAAATACATCGTGAGAACCAGAAGAAAAAAAAGAGAGAGAATTCTTCCGAAGGACATGTCGGGTTTCTAAATATGAATGCATCTATCATAAAATAATATTGTTCCATTAGTAAAGACACACACGTTGACTTTGCCAAGATTGGAATAAAAAATTACATTAGAAAATAAAGAATTTCTGACACCACAAGACTCTTTGGCTCATTCACTTCTAGCAATGCAAGGGGCCCCTAGGATGAGCTCCTGAGCATCTGAAACACTGGGCCTCCCCGCCTCCTTTTTAATTCGTCTTGTGTCAAATACTGGTGTTATTTAAAACACCCAAATACTGGTGTTGTTTAAAATGCCCAAAATGCCACTTTATTAAATTTTTATTTCCACTCATGTAAGGTGGCTTCAATGCCAAAGCAAATTCAGTGTTAGAGAAGTCAAGGTATAAATAAAAGACATGTAGCTAATTCTGCCTTTTTGTTTTTTAAAAGAAATTATGGACACCCAAGCCTAATTCTGTGCTATCATTTATTTTTTTTATTTTTTATTTTTTTGTCCTTTTTGAGACCGGCTGCACCGCGCTCAGTCAGTGAGCGCTGTGAGCGCACCAGTCACCCCTATATAGGATCCGAACCCACAGTGGGAGCACTGCTGCGCTCCCAGCGCCGCGCTCTCCCGAGTGCGCCAGGGGCGCGGCCCTGTGTCATCATTTAAACATTTGCCCGCAGAGGCCCTCCCTGGCCTGCCATTCCCTCTGGGCCCTGTTTAGCTGTCTACCCCTCACCTGAGCAGTTAATCCCCCAGCAACGATGCCCTGCTGGCATTCCCATTCTCTCCATCCTTTCTCCCTTCATTTCTTCATTCAACAAGTCTGTTTTGAGCACCCGCTATATGCTGAGCCCTGTGCCAGGAACAGAACAGCAATGGACAATGCAGTGATGGTCACTTTCCCCAGGCCTCCCATGTGGGGAGCAAGAGGACTTCATAACAGTTCATGTGCACACAGTGTCACTGCTTTGTACTCTGAAAACAACTGTGGCAAGAATAACAGACCCTGGGCCGGCCCGGTGGCGCACTGCTACAGTGCGCCGCTTGTGAAGCGTGGCGGTGCTCCCGCCGAGGGTTTGGATCCCACATACAGACCGGTTCCCGCTCACTGGCTGAGCGAGGCGTGGGAGCAACACCGAGGGTTGCGATCCCATTGCCGGTCCCGGTCCAGTACGGGGGCGACACAAGAATAACAGACCCTGAAAAAAGAAAAACAGATGCTGCGTTGACTTGACACAGAAAAACACACATTTTGCAAAACTTCTGGGGAGGAATGGTATTCCCCTGTGGTGTCTGAGCTTCACTAGAGATGTATACCATGTCAGATGCAAATTATAGAGAGACACCTGCACGCCTTCAGGTATCACCTGCAGAAACACAGTTGCCACACCTCTAGGTGGGCAGAGGACCAGCCCTGGCTTTCTATGACCAGGTGTCTTACTTAACTATGTATGGACATCTTCCATCTTAACATCTACAGTGTCTATGATGATGTTGCCTAATATGTTAGTGACACTAAATAATTATTAGTTCAGCTGGCCTGACGTCAACTGAGAAGTCCTTGGCCTAAATATGAGAAAGAACTAGCAGTTCAGGAATCACACTTCAAATCAAGGAAGCAAGCACTTTCCAGCACAGGTGTGACTGCCCGACATTTAGCACAGCCTCTTGGACTCACTGAAACTTGAATAAGCAAATCAGTAATAACAATGGTAGAAGACGAACCTCATTTCGTGCAACCAGAGTTATAAATGCTCCTTGTTTATAGCACTCGATAGCAATGCACTTCCCAATGCCGCTGGAACCTCCTGTTACCTAAAAACAAAAGTAATAAAATCTTCTTAGCACGTGACATCCCCCCCCCCCCCCCCCCCGGGGGGGGTTTTAAAAAAAATTCTATGGGGGTGCAAAAAAACCTATAAAAAAAAAAAAAAAGGGGGAAAAAAAAAGAAAAAAAATCCCTTTACCCCGTTAACCCCCCCCCCCCCCCGCGTAGGAAGTTTATTTAAAATAGCTATGATGGGCTCTAAAAGCGAATCTATAAGAACAAAATGTTTAGCTATTGTAGCTTCTTCGTTGTGAACCTAATGATTGGAATATACGCAAGCATGAAAGATTATATTGTCAGCAGGGCTGATGATTTGTTTTCAGTACTGGATGATAAATGCACACCTATAATATTTTTCTGAGTTCACTAGAGGGAAGAAAGTGCCCTATAACTCTAGCTAATAAGTAATAAATTGGTCTGCCTCTGATTCTGAATCCAAATGAATCTTACTTCCTACTGCACATCGATGCAAGACTAGCTCTATGACAGATTGAAAGCATGGCCACCTGCATAAATCTTATGATATTTTAAATGACTTTTCTTATTATGAAAGTAATAAACGATCACAAGGAAATACTGCAAAGCAAAGCTTTTCTTCTTGTACTATTCCGTCCCTCAGAATTTATAGCTCAGCCATATTGCTGTCTTCCAGTTCCATGCTCCTTCCAACTACAGGGCCTTTGCACATTCTCTTTCCTCTGCTGGCAATGCTCTCCTCCCCCTCTCTCTGTCTAGCTGGCACCTGCTCACCCATCAAATCACAGCTCAAACATCACTTCCTCAGAAAAGTCTTCACTGCCTGCCACACTCCCACTCCCACCTATTTTTCAGCACTGAATCCTTTTTTCTTTACTTTATGGCACTCACATAGTCAAACAGCCATGCATTTATTTGTGTGATTATTTAATTCACAAAAATCTCTCCTGTCATCACCCCATAAACTCCATAAAAATACCAATTCTATTTCTGTTTCCCACTATATTCCTAGCCCCATAGCACAGGAAGAACTCAATTTATGAGGATACTTCAAAAAGTACATGGAAAGATTCATAGTATCTCTTAATTCTATTTTTCCACAAACTTTTTCAAGTACCCACCTATATCTCACTTAATAAGACAAATGCAACATTATTTTTCTATTTGTTTTCCCTATGCAAATTATACAACATTGCATGCTATAGTCCTGCTTTAAAAAATTATATCATAATGTCATGTCAAAAAACTAAAAGTCGTCCAATTTTGCATTAAAATTATATCAAAACTTAACCATTTCCCTCTGGTCAGACATTTCAATTATTTCAAATAATAATTCTGCAGAGCCCAGTTCAAATGTCCCCTGCTCAGTGACTGTGTCGGTCATGACCTTTACCTGTCACCATTTACCTTATGCAGTTACTTATAGAAACAACTTAGCTCCCTCGCCAGACTATCCGTTCCTTAAGGACGAGAACCAAGTCCAACTGATTTCACTCATTCCTTGCACAAGCGGTTGCTAAATAAATATGTGCCTACATTAATTTGCAAAATGGTGTATGATGCAATTTCTCTGAAAAATACAATGCCAAAAAATCCTGTAAGTAAAACTTCCCTATTTATTACGCAATGAATTAATGGAAGTGGAAGTTACGAGATTAATGAGAAAATGCATAGGTTCTGAACTGTAATGTAGATATTAGCTATTGTTATTATTACTGTGCTTTTTTCTGGACCGTATAAAGGTAATCTAGTTGTGTAAATTTACCGCAAAGCAAAAAGCAGGGTTTAAATCACTTATAAGATCTCTTCTTAATAAAAGTCTGACATCAGCTTTTGGGTCATGGCTTACAGGAAACTAACCTTAGTCAAGTCAGCTAATTCTTACAGAGTATCTAAGAATACCCTTAAGCCTATGTAATTCTGAATGTTATAAGAAACTAAAAGGGATTTTCACAATGGCTGAGAAAAGTGGTCAATGTATACTGAGTTGCCTGACTGTTGCTAAATTGAGCCCAGATGGGGGACACTAAAGATAACAGTTTAATTTCCTTTCTTTATCACTCCCTCTTACTATTCATTGCACATACTGTTTAAGTATTACTGTCTCTTTAACCACACCATATAGCTCTTATTAAGGGTAACTGGATGGTTTACTACCAGGGGAGCTGCTCCCAGTCACTTCCAAAAAAGAGAGGATTCAAGTAAGTATATTCTGCTTGCTGCAGTTTTCCACTGTAATTAGGGAGACAACACTAGTAATATAAGAATTGTTCTAAAAACAAAACGAAGTTTTAAGTTTGGTCACGCTTCCACATAGGCTGACAGTCTAAAGATTAGCTACCTCTCCTAACACCTCCCAGTCTAGCCCTAACAAATCTCAAGAAAAATAATTACACTTTCAGTCTTCCTATGACATTAAAAAAGAAGACAGATGGTGACATCATGTGAATTATTCATGTCATTCTCACGTTATTTATAGTGGTTCATTAAAACGAGATGGTGAAAATAAGAAATTCTTCTTCGTCTATCCTAAAAGACATCGTGTTTAGTATCTTTCTATGACCTGCAGCTTGATGGGGCTGGAAGGACCAGAGTCAAGGTTAAGTGAAAATGTCTTATAAATAACGAAACAAAAAATTCACTCTACTTTTGCCTTTACTTTCTCCCAAGTTAGGCTCTGCAAGCACAAGTTCTGGAAGAAACCAACTCTTCACGCCATGCTTTTGAGGCAGAAGTGCTCTTGTGCAAGTGAAACTCTTGATACCTCAGCGAGACTGTAAAGTTTTGCTTCTCTCACTCTTCCCCTGCCCACCCCCCCCCCTTTTAAAAATGAGTCTACACTCAACTTCTCACCTACCTTCCACATCAGGAATAGCAGGAGTTGGAAATAAACGAATAGTTTTACAAAGGAGAAATTACAGAAAACATATTTTCTCATTCACAAACTCTTGTCTAGATTTAAACCACTCTAAAAGAAGTGACCACCTTCTCCTAGCTCAGTGGGGAGGCCTGGATCGCAGCAGAGACGCCTATGTCACCTCTGGCAACAAGAACATGCCTGCTGCCAGCTTAGTAACTAATCCCCGTTATTCATAATTCCCCGCCTCAGTGTGCCCCGGGGTCGGGAGATCCAAGTAAGAAAGCTGATGAGAAGGCCACTGCAAACGGCAAGTGCCGGGCGCGGGGGAGGGGGCGACTCTCTGGATTTGAGAAAGGTGCCATGCTTGCAGAGCAGGCACTGAACACACGAGCTTCCGGTAAGAAACAACCAAACCCACCGCTTCGTTCCTAAAGCCTAGCCCTGTCGTTCAGCTCATCCTTCTGACTCTGAAACACTGGCAAAGGACTGCACTGGAGCAGCAGTCAGCAGACCCCAGACCGAGCTCAGAGACGAGCAGTGGAGACGGGACAGAAGCGTCCCAACCGCGCCAGCCGAGACCGCCAGCCCACTGGGTTCTGAGCAATTCCCCCCCCCACCTCCAGGTGAGTCACTTCCTGGAATCCTTTGGCGACTGCTCTTTCTGTCACTCGCACAGGCCATCTTCCAACTCTAAGATGCCTCGGCGGGTCCTGGAAGCTGGGACCACCCTTCCCCGATGCTTGCCCCCTGGCGACCCGGCCCGAGCGCCTGCCCCCGCCCGGGACCAAGAGCCGCACCCGGAGCGCCACCGACCGCTGTGTCCTTGACAAAGTTTCTCGGCCTCTCTGTTCCTCAGCTGACTCATCGGGAAAACTAAGGATAGAAATATCCACATCCGAAGGATGCTTCGGGGATTAGCCAGCAGCTCCTGGGCCCCTGGAGACCCCGGCTTGCTGGCGCTGTCCGCCGCCACGCCGCCCTCCGGTCCCGGGAGAAGCCAGATGCAGCGGAGGGCGGGTCCTCGCGGCCAGACGCCCGGCCCGAAGGGTCAGTGCCGCGGTGGACGGTGGCAGGTGATCTCCCCATTTGGCCGTCCCTCCCTGGGGACCATGGCCTGGAAAAATAAAAGACGTCGGCGGCCCGGCCTCCGTCGCGGGCCGTCCGAGCAGGCCAAGGGGTCGGCGCGCAGCAACAGGAGGCCACTCACCACCACATGCGCCCCGGGCAGGGCGAGGGGCTTGGGGCTGATGAGCGGAGACACCATGTACAGCAGCAGCACGAAGGCCACGAGGAAGGCGGCCGCCAGCAGCAGCATCGCTCCGCCGGGGCCCGCAGGCTCGGTGCGGCGGGCGGGGGCCGCGCAGGCACAGCGCGCTGGGCTCGGCGGCGGCGACACCAGAGCGGTCACGCGCGGCCCGCGCGCAGCCAGAGCCCGGAGTGTTTGGGTTTGCAGGAGAGGGCGGGACGGCGGCGGAGGGGAAGAGGAGGAGCCCGCGAGGGGCGCGATCGGGGCGGGGCGACGCTTCCAGGGGGCGGGGACGCTGCCACGGCCCAGGGCAGACTGGCTTCTGGGGGGTCCCGGGTGTCCCCCACATCTGCGACATGTGGACGGGGCCCCGCCACCCCACCTGCGGAAATGGGCCTCCCCGAGCGCGCAGCGAGCGAGCTGCGGCAGCGCCACGGGCGCCGCTTCTGGGAGGGGCTGGTGACTTGCTCCCGTTTTGTGTTAAGGTTACTTCTTAGGACCCCGCAGAGCAGGTTGCCCGACCTTCCAGAACCGCGAGTCTGAGGGTTCGAACCACTCGGGTCCCGGGAGTTCCGCCTGGTCGCGGGCACCGCCGGCGCACACCGCGGGAGGGTTTCAGAGCCCTGGAAACAGTGGCCTGGGGATCTGCGGACCTCCTCAGTGCGGAAGCCCGGAGGTGAGGCTCCGGAATCCCGGGGTCCATTTCGTAGTTTCTTGGGGTACTTAGCAAATGGTCACAGCCCATTTTCGCTTTTCAGAAGACCGGGAAATCCTTAACATGGAGTTTTGAAAATCACTTAGATAATTCAATTTCCTTGAGCTCAGAGTTCATCTTCTTTACAAGAGAAGATTTAAAACAAAACAGAACAAAAGAACCGGATTTATTAAGATCTAATTCACATACTATACCATACAGTTCACCGATTTAAAGTGCATAATAAATGGTTTTTAGCATAGTCTGAGACTGTGCAGCCATCATCACAATCAATTTTAGAACATTTTTGTCACACCCCCAAAGAAATCCTGTACTCGTCAGCAGTTAGTCACCATTTCCTCCCAACCCCTGCTCAGCCCTAGGCAATCACTAATATTTCTGTCTGTACATTTTCCTCTTCTGGATATCTCACGTTAACGCAATCGTACAATATGAAACCTTTTGCGTCTGGCTTCCTTCATTTAGTATAATGTTTTCAAGGTTTATCCATGGTATACAATGTATTAGTACTTTGTTCTTTTTATTGTTAAATAATAATCCCATTGTATGAATATATCAGATCTTATTTTTCCATTTATCACTTGAGGGACATTTAGATTATTTCCACTTTTTGACTTATGAATAAAGCTACTGTGAGCATTCATGTACAAGTGTGGACATATGTTTTCATTTCTCTTGAGTATATACCCAGGCATAGAGTTGCTGGCTTTCACCGCAATTCTAATTTTAACTATTTGAGGAATTGCCAGTTTTCCAAAGTGCTGTACCATTTTACATTCCCACCCACAACGTATGTGGGTTCCAATTTCTCCACTTCCTCGCAAACACTTGTTACCTATCTCTTTGATTATAGCCTTCCTATTATAGGACGTGAAGTCGCATTGTGGTTTCAATTTGCATAAAAGCACATATTTTTATTTGCTTGCTTTTCATTTTGTTATTTTTAGAAATACTAGGGAACAAAGGAGTAAAAGGAATTGACTTGAATTTTTCTTTTATCATGACTTACCGCTCAGAGTTAGCCAAATTGTAACATTTCAGGGCATAGTCCCCAAGAGTTCTCACACCAGTGCAAGTTTGGGCATTCCCAAATGACCCTTAGATTTGGTCATTCCTTGGAAGGACTCACGGAACTCACTGAAAGCTATTGTAATGGTTGTTATTGCAGTTATTATTACTTAATAACATTACATAATGCCTGGAAGGAGGGTCAGAGCAAGAAATAAGGTTATCTCTTAGCCCCAATTACACCAGATGCCTGAAAGGGTGAAGAAGATTGTCACGGTTTTTTTTTTTTTTTTTTTTTTTGAAACTGACAGGGTAGAATAGAAACCTGCAGGCCTTGGTGGCATTCTCTGGTAGACACATGGGTCATATGATATGATGATGAACTGGACCGATTGTTGATGAGTGAGTGGGACTCTAGTAGTGTGCCACTATCTTTTGATTCTTATTTTTCAGGTTATGTTTACTTCTATATTGTGATATGGTGTAACACTGGCATTGTTGGTTAGATTATAATACTCATGTTGATGGTCAAAATGTATCAGGAAATTTTCATTTATCTCTGGTTGTGAATGCAAAGCCATACCAGAGTAAATATCTATTCCTGTCGAGCAGTGTCATCTCTACACTGCTGCAGCAGGCCCCTCCCCGATGTCTACCCATTCTGTGGACTCAGGTGGCCACCTCAATTGAGTACACCAGGATATCCACTTACTGGTTCCAGTCACTTTCTGATCTTGGAAGGAGGTTCTTATGATGGACAATGACATACCCTACTTTAGTGTGCATTTTGAATTACTGTGGGGATTTCCATAGGGCTGTGTCCCCATAACCGCTCCTTCAGTAGGCCAGTTTCCCATTGCCCTTCTACTTAACCATATAGCCAGGCCATTAGCTACTGCCTGTGATTTGGTTAAAAACCCAAACATCGTGGGAAATAGCATGTAATTCAGCCCACTAAGCTGATTTGTTTTCACCTTCCTTGATCAGAGTGGCAGCCTTCCAAACAGGATACTGTACATTCACCTTGAAACTGCCATCCATAAACCAAGCAGCTCTTTTTTGGCCAATAGAAAGCTGTTCATAGGGCATGGCCCAAGTGGCTATAAGTCCCACAACTTCTCATGTAGTTCCAAAGTTGGTCCTAGGAGAAAAGAGTCTATCTGCTAATGAACACGATGTGTTCTTTGTATTCCCCTTAAAGCACGTTCCTGTACAAACCGTTTCCATTTTATTATGGAACTCTTCTGGTCACTGCCGTCTCCATTGGAGCATTTCTCTAACATCATGCAAGACATAATGTGTATTTCAGGTTTCAAGATTATTTTATGTCCTTCAGTCATAGGAGCAGTTTCAATTATTGTCCAATAGCAGGCTAGTAATTGCCTCTCAAGTGGAAATTCTCTGTTCCAAAATCTCACATCATTAATAAGTGGTGTTCACAGGATTTTGCCATAAGCCCCAGTCTGAGTAAGGACTCCAGAATTCCTTTCAAGTAGTTTTATAGGTAGGATCTAGTAATATTTCCAGATGTGGCATATGCACCTTCCAAAATCCAAGAAAACCAGCCAGATGCTGGTCTTTTAACATGTTTTGTCCACCAGGTATCCCATACTATTTAAAATTAACAACCTGTGTGGACTTGGTGATCTTATAGGCTCCCATTTAGCATGTTCAATCAAGACGACCTGAAGGGCAGATTTATCTGCTTTCTGTTTCCCATACTAGGTAAGGGAAACTTTCCCCAGTCAAACACAATATTCTTCATCACAGCACATTTATGTAAAGGAGGGCTGGCTGGTTAGCTGAGTTGGTTAGAAAGTGGTGCTGATAGCACTAGGGTCAAAGATTTGGATCCCCATACCAGCCAGCCACTAAAAAAAATTTTTTAAATTAAAAAATTAAAAAATGAGATGCAACACTTCACCTAGACTCTGTTCAAACATCAAACATTCCAGTTTTCTTCCAAACTTTCACATTGATCCCATCAATGTTGCATGTTGCATTTCCATGTCCTCCTAATCTAACTGTAGCCCGTCAGGCAAACAACTATTAGAACCACAGTGCATGGGCTCCCATGTCAAGGAGTTCCAGAAATGTCTCTTCTCCACCCTTGACCATTTACCCATTTATGTGCATATGGCCTTGGGCCCCAAGCCAGAGGTTGAGCCAAGGGTCCAAAGTCTTCTCCTCAGTTCTTATCTTGATTAGATTGTGGAATCATGGCCCCAGATAATTGGAAGTCAGGTTTTTCATTGTCATCTTTGCCTTGCTGCTTTTTAAATTCATCCAAACTAGGTTGAATAAAGCAGATTTGTTTAAGGTCCTTCAATGTTAGGGGACCAGCAGGGGCTCCCATTGGTTCATCCAAACTCTGAGAATGCTGCATTAAGATCTTTGTTTTGACATCATCAATGTCCACTTTATTCATCTTTTTTAAAGATTTCCACCCTTTCACTCTCCCCTCTTTCTTGGAAATCAGTCTGTTATCTGTTATTTCAGCATAACTTTTCTATTTGGAGTTGACCTTAAGACTAGCAGCTGTAGTTCAAACTGGTCAGAATCCAAGCTTGGCCCAGCCTCAGGATCTGCTTCTACACTTCTTTACTTTCATTTTAGCTATTACAGATAACAATAATCAAAGGGATTGCATTTGGCTTATTACTTTGCTTTTATTTTGGCATCACATGAGCCAACTCTGCAAGAGTTGGATCCATCATTTCTAAATTCCATTGGTAAATTTTACATTCAGTGGGATAAGTAAACCCCATGACCAACTGGAGTCTATTTCAGGGATGCAAGGCTGATTCAATATTTAAAATTCAGTAAGTGTAATCTACCGTATTAACAGGCTAAATAATAAAAATCACATGATCCTATTAGTCAATGCAGAAAAAGCATTTGGCAAAATTAAACACCTATTCATAATTAAAACTCTCAGAAAAATAGTAATACAGGGGAACTTTTTCAATTTAATAAAGAACATAGACAAAAAACCTACAGCTAATATTATACTTAATGGTGAATGACTGAAGGCTTTCTCCTAAGATAAGTGAAAGAAAGTGAGCTGAAACACTGGGTACTGATCAAGCTTTATTGAAGGAAGAAAATCTGCCGGGCTGCACTCATAATGGAGGGCACCACCAGGCATGGAGGTGGGAGAGCTTATATGGGCTGTGGGGTGCCAAGGGCTGGCTGAAGCAATCAAGGAGAGGCATTGTGAGGGAGGGGCATTGCACCCATGCAGAAGCAACAAGAGTTTCTATTTCACAGAAGTCACGAGACTTCTCATAAAGGGAAGGGGTAAGGGGTTGGGGGCCATTTTGTGCTTGGCCTTGCCTAAAATGGCACTGGTTGTGTTCAAGATCTATCAATAAGGAACAAGGCAAGAATGTGTGTTCTTATCCCTCTTATTCAACATGGTGCTG